TTGGTGCACTTCATAGATTTGCTTTTACCGGTCTAGACATATTTGCTTTGGCAGTTTATTCCCTATTGTAACACCATTATCGGTCCAGCAAAAACTGTACTAGATAAAATAATTTTGGTGCTCAAAATCAAATTGACATTTACCCCCACTGCCACCACCAAAGCCGCCCCCGCCGTTGTTGTATCCATCATAGCTTCCACTGCCACCATAACCCCGGCTTCCTCCAGAATATCCAGGGCCACTGCCTCCATAACCTACAAAGCAAATAAGATACTGAATTGCAGAACATTGCAAATTGTGTATTTTACAAATCTCAAGGATTTTAACATTTTTTATAATTTTATGTACGCAATACTAAAGATACATATACCCTTAAAATAAATCAACATGTCGTTGTATGATATCTTATGGAAAATAGCAGCTTTTTCAAAAGCTGTATGAACTTACCATCATTGCCAAACCCATTATAACCATCTCCGCTGCCCCCGTATCCTCCTCCTCCACCGCCACTGCCGCCACCGCTGCGGCTACCAAACCCACCTGAGGAAAAAAATAAAATATTAACATACTGATCTTATTTCAGATTTATGGTGAACTTCTGATATAGTCATTCACACACATAAGTTTGGCATTTGTGTAAAAAAAAAAAGCATATAGAAAAGCTACACATCCAAAGTACAGCTTAATCCCAGAAAGAAATCCAGTAATAAGATACAACAATGTATTCCTTTAAGTCCTTATTGTGATTAAGACCTTAAAATGAATTTTAAATCTTCAAAAACCTTACTTACCACGGCTTCCAAAATTGCTACCACGGTTGAAATTGTCACCACCGCCAAATCCACCTCCACGTCCACTGCCAAAACTTCCAGAGCTACTGCGACCTATGAACAACAACAACATGTGGCTTTCCTGGAAAATGCCACTACAAAATGTTTCTGTGTTCAAATACTGCACACTTACCTCGCTGACTGGAAGAGGCACTGGCCATTTCCTGTTTTGACAAAGCCTTTCGGACTTCACAATTATGTCCATTTACAGTATGGTATTTCTGAACTAGACATGAAAAGATAAAAAAATGGTATCAAAATCCCTATAGAAGCTACATATAGAGAAAACAGAACAAGTTAGGGCATAGCTGAAAGGATGAAATAAGATGCTTACTGACAATCTTGTCCACAGAGTCATGATCATCAAAAGTAACGAAGGCAAACCCCCTCTTTTTGCCACTGCCACGATCAGTCATTATCTCTATAACTTCTATTTTGCCATACTGTTCGAAGTAGTCCCTCAAATGGTGTTCCTCTGTATCTTCCTTAATCCCCCCAACAAAGATTTTCTTCACTGTCAAATGTGCTCCAGGTCTCTGGGAGTCCTATGAGACACGACAAACACATTTTAAACTCTTAATATTTGTGGCTGCTTGGTGATTATCCATTTTGCCAGAGAACGCATGATGCATCTTAAAGACATTAGTATTTAAAAATTCAAGCCTATCCACTTCAAATTTTAACATACCATAAACCCTAAATTTCTCCAACCTGGCAGTGCAAAAAAAATTATTTCAACCTCAGCCAACATATTAGTAGAATAGAAGGAAGGGAGGAACAATTAACACTAAATTCTGTGTTTTCACCCCAAATGCAATTCATGGATTCTTTTTTTTTAAAAGGAGAACTTATTTAAAAAAACTTATGGACATCCAAGTTATATACTTTAACTTTGACACAGCTCATAGCAAAAATCATAAAAACAAAATAATTTAAACTAGAAGCCAATAAAATTTACAAATAAATAAATTTAAACTAAAGATGCCAAATGTAGTAGTACTATTAAGCAAACTATATTATCAATGTTCTGTGTAGGATACATGACTGCAGTATTTTGGGCTTCCAGCATTTTCGCTAAGACTTTGAATCTGTTGACTATGCACCCAACAGTAGTTTTTCTTACCTCTCTAGATACTGCTCTCTTTGGTTCAACAACTCTCCCATCAACCTTGTGTGGTCTGGCATTCATGGCAGCATCAACCTCTTCCACTGTTGAGTAAGTGACAAATCCAAACCCCCTGGAGCGCTTAGTATTTGGGTCCCTCATTACCTAAGAAGAAACAATATACATTTTTGCTGTAAAATACACTATTGCAAGAAATGCACCTGATGCAGGCAATGTTTAATTTAGAAAAATCAATTGCCCTGTTTTTTAGAAATAGGATAGTGATATACTAAAGGCAACATTAGTGCTTAATATAGTCGTTGGGAGATTTTCTTCTCTTTTCTTGACTATTGTATACTTCCTATATCTTAATTCAGCTAAAGTACACATATTTATTAAATTTGTTTGCTGCTCATCTTGATACAACTGACATACTTACCACACAATCTGTAAGTGTGCCCCATTGCTCAAAATGATTGCGAAGGCTCTCATCTGTTGTCTCAAAACTCAGGCCACCAATAAACAGTTTTCGCAGTTGTTCAGGTTCCTTGGGGGACTGAAACAGAAAAGTAGGCAACACTAGGAAGGATATGATCACAGTGTATAATGGTGGGGAGCCATAATGAAAATAAGCATGATTTATTCAGAGTATAAGAATACCAAGTCCCATCAGCCAGAACCAGGTAAAAAGTACAGGAGATGATTTGCAGAAATTAGCTATTTAGGAAACAGGAAGTGCTTTTAAGCATGTGCACAAGCAATGTAGCTGTTGTGAGTAGCACCAGAACCAAGCTCATAAAACCTGAAAAATAATTTCTGGCGTGAGCTTTTTTTTTGGTTCGGTTTTTATCTTAACAGCAAAACCTAAGTACAGACAGTCCCTGATCTACAACCGAATTTGTCAAATGCTAAGCAAGACAGTTAAGTGAATTTTCCCCATTTTACAACCTTTCTTGCCACAATTATTAAGTAAATCGCTGCAGTTAAGTGAATCTGCCTTGACTTTGCTTGAAAGATCACAAAAGGTTTGATTGTGTGACAAGGGGATACTACAATGGTAGTAAGTATAATGGTTATAAATCAATGACTACCTGTAATTTAGGGATCACTCAGACAATGTAGCCTTCTTTCCTTTTATCCATTCTGGTGTCATAAAATGCAAATTTTCACCCTACATCAATGGCTTTGCTTGGTATACAGAATCCCAAGACAAGTAGAACATTAACACTAGCATGCGCATCCAATGCAATTAAGGTCTCTAAAGCATTTACTGTACATTGCTGGCTGCTTTTGTATTGTTACACAGCAAAAGGAATCATATTTTAGGAACAAAGCCACTATTCTAATATGCCCTCAAAAGGAGATATATAACGGATCGTCTTTTAAGGCAATGCAGGAATTTACTTATATTAGGCCTAGCAAAAGTATCAGTACTGTCATAATAAATTTACCCCATCTCCCCAAATTAGGTGCATTTTAGTGTTTCCAGCAAGCATTTTGGGGCTGGGGGGGGCGAGATTACGTTCCAATTTCCAACATTGTAGCAATTTCAAAACTTATGAGAATTAAACACATACAATGGCTGATGAAACATACTTTCTCAGGCACACATTTGTCAATATAAGTGCTTTCAAAATTTTAAAGCTTTTAACTGGAGCTTCCTCGGGCACAAGCCTTGGTTCAGAATGGGCATCATTCTCTTCTCAACCCCACATTAAAAACGAAGGAAAAGGAATTAGAGCCACCAGGCCGCCTCTTTCCATTTGCACAGAGACGTGAAATTAAAAGGCCGAGAAACCAGCTCCCAGAGACAAAGCAAAGGAGCACGTGGCTTTCGCATCTTCCCATTTCCTCCCCCCCACGCAAACTCCGAACTGCTCCGTGGAAGTGCGCAGGCGTGCGATTCATCGCACGGCGCAAGCGCAGCCATGACAAGCGCAGGAGATGGCCGCCGCGAACGCCACGCACTGGAAAAGATGGCGCCTAAACTAGCAACACAGCGCGCACGCGCAGTTTGCCAGGTCCTCGGGGGGGGGGAGGGAAAATAGGCCCAACCAGAGAAAAAGACCTATTATAAAGGTGAATCAGAAAAGCCAAACGCGGGCAAGCGGCGGAAAAAGATGAGCGCAAAAGGAAAACAATGCATTTCAGTAGCGGGAATGAGGAGAAAAACGGTATTTGTAACACTTACTGCGTTAGGCGACAGATCGCACCCATAATCAGACGATCCCTAAAGGCAAAGGAAACATAATTCCACAAAAACAAGCCACTGGTATAGAGTCGTAAAAACAAAATAAAACGGCCCGTTGTAGGCTCTTACCTCAGATTTGGACATCTTGGCGGTAGCAAATGGGCGAGGCCGACCTTCTTCACGAACGACGCTCCCTCTCACTGCACCCGATACCAAAAGGGGCAGAGTCACCCGTGCGTCGTCGACTCATTATCAATACCCACCCCTGCCCATTGTTATTGGATGGCTGTGTAGCTTTAGTCGATGGCTATTGGTCAATAGGCAAATAGTCTGCCTCCTTAGTGGACGAATACGTAAAGTTACGCCTGTTTCCTCTCCATTGTCCCACCTCCTTTGTCCTTCTATTGGTTGGACTTCTGTCACTCCTTTGATTTGGTGAATTTTCCCGCCCTGTACTCCTAGAGCTCCAGTTGCAAGGTAACATCCTTCTCCTTCATATGGTTTCTTTCTCATTGGAGAATTCGGAGCATAAGTTGTTCTGATTGGCTTTTACGACCAGCCATCTTTTTAGAGATTGGTCCATCTTCTCTTCATTCATTATCATAGAGGCGGGAATTAAGTTCGTGTTGTATACGGGTTTAGGTCGGTGGTTAGAACTATATCCATCCCTGTGGTGGTGAAGGTACATGCCAGGTTAGAAGGGGGGGAAAAAGATCGTTTTATGTATAAAATTTGCTTCCAGGCAGACGTACACGGTGAGGCATATTGTACATATGCGCATGCGTTTTGAAATATTACGCCGGAGAGGAACGGTTGTCGAGGAAGATAGTAAGGAGGTGCGCGCGCCTCACGCCAGCGCGGTGAAGCTGGGAAGGGGGCGGAGGGGCTAGCGCGTGCGCACTAGAAAGCTGTTTTGGCGGGCGTTGCGCAGAAGCGGTGGCCGTGAGGGGGTACAAACCAGGGAGGGGGAAGTTGGTTTCGTACCGAGCTGTTACTTTCCCCAGGTGAGCGACCACGGGAAACAGTCTTGGCGGGGAGCGCGTTAACCGAGAGCCAGTGATTCTTCGGGAGAGGGTGTGGTTTCGGTATGATTGGGAACCTGATTGACTGAGCCGTGAGGCACCGTTGGGAAGTGGGCGGGGCTTGCATCTTGGGCGGAGCCCTCAAGTGAGTGACAGCCGAATGAGTGAAAGCTTGAGGCAGTGAACAGCGTCAGAACGTTGAGATCCGGGGTATGAAGTAACAGGCGTTTTAACCAACGGGTGCTGCGTTTGTCTTCGGGAGGGCTGGCCCGGTGCTGTTTGATGGATGCGCAGTCTGGCCAATGAACGGGTTACTCGGCTAGCGCCTTCCCTATGAAAGTGGGGGAGGGGGGAAATCTGTCTAGGAGCGAAAAGCTTTCCGCCGTGACTCCGCCCGCCCCGTGGATAGGCGCTCGTTTGCCTTTGCGTCTTGTTCTGTTTCCCCTGCAGAATTTCCCGCCGAGCTTCCCCCCCCGCCCCCCCCCAGATCCAAAGAAAGTGGGAGTCGTTTTCTATAAAATGGTGGCCCGGTATATCTGCACCTTCACTTAAGGTGATTTCTGGATTATCTACGGAGAATTTTACAAACATTTTTAAACAATAAAAATAATCGCATCTAGTCCTGACCGTCCTTTCCTGGGCATCCATACTACTTTAGGCGGTCCCGTAATTCATGATCTGTAAGCCTGTATCGGGAATGTGATGGTTGCAACTCTTGGATTTACGAAGATTTTAAACCTCAGAATCCCAGTAATACGAACTACTTTATATGCGTACATTCTACAGCATTATTTACTGTGATAAACATTTGTACTTCTAGAATACTTGTTTTAATATTTTTGTTGGTTTACATTGGTTTAAGAAAAATAGAACTGAAAGGTGGTTCAGTCTGGCAGCATTTATGGAGATCTCGTATTAAGTCCCTAAGAAATGACTGGATAATTTTGTTGTGATGCTATAAACCTTTGAGAGGATAAATATATACATATATATTTTATCTGTAATAATAGCCGAGTGCAAGCATTTCTATTTTTTAATTGAAAGAAACTTGTGGAACAACTAAAGCATCTGGATGTAAATTTCATTAACTCTTAAAAATATGAAAGAAACATTTCCATATAACTAAATTTCATCCCCTTTGTGTTCATCCTGGACTGTCCCAAAGGTGCTTTTTCAAGAGGCAACTGGACTTTGTTTTTTTTGAGGTTTTGCTTCTCATCAAAAATCATCTTCAACTGACTAGATGGTAGAGAATGGGAAGATTTATACTCCTTGCAGACAGTTGGTCATTTATATTATTTTAAGGAGAGGTCACCTGGAGGTTTATCTGTGTCATCAGAGTCACCTGAGTAGTACAAATGGGTGTGGAGCCTTCTTGGAACTGTTGAAAGAACTGTGTTGTAGATTGGAAATAGATGATGTCATATCCCTCCTCTGTTCAATTTTGATAGATGGCCTCTTTGACCCCTCTTTCAAATCAGCAATCCTCTCTGTCCAAAATGTGGATTTTGCTGTCTTCAAAAGCGAGGCCTTTGTCTTTAAAATGCAGATGATCTGCTGAATCTAGTCCTGATGGGTTTCTTCTCCTACGTTGTGCCATGCGTTTATGAAGTGGTTGCTTTGTTTCCCCAATCTACAGATCTGAACATGGCTCAATGCTTTGTATTGCATATACCATGTTGCTCAGTTTGTGTTTGGGTGTTTTATCCTTGAGATGTACAAGTTTCTGCCTTAGTGTAGTCTTGGGTTTGAAATGTGCACGTATATTGTGTTGGCTGAAGATCCTCTTGAACTTTTCAGATATGCCTGCAACGTATGACACCATTGCTTCGTTTATTGTTCTCTGTCTGTTATGGAAGGGCTCTTTTGGGATCTTTTTTGAGATTTGAGGAAGGCCCACTTGGGATAGTCACATGTTCTTAGGGCTTCCTTGATGTTTCAGTTCTTTTTCTTTCTCATTTTTGCTGGTAGGCAGGCCTTCAGCTCAGTGGTGTAGGGTTCTGATAACTCCCATTTTGTGCTCCAGTGGGTGGTGAGAATCAAAAAGTAAATATTGATTTCTGTCTGTGGATTTTCTGTAAATTTCACAGTCCACTCCTATAAATCTTTCCATTCCCCATCATCCAGTCAGAGCTGAAGAAGGTTTTTGGATAAGAAACAAAACCTCAAGAAAAACAAGAAAGTCCAATTGCCTCTTGAAAAAGCACCTTTGGGACAACTATGACCTGGGTGGCTGAGAATCTCCCTTACAGTGAGCTAGGAGTATACAGGTAGTCCTTGACTTACAAAGTTCATTTAATGACTGTTCAAAGTTACAACAATACTGGAAATGTAACATGATCTATTACAACTGTTATACACAGTTACAACCTTTGCAGCATCCCCATAATTGTGGTCAAAATTCAGAGGTATGGCAATTGGTTCATATTTATGGCTATTGCTGTGTCCTGGGGTAATGTGATCACCTTTTGTCACCTTTTGATCAGCAAAGTCAACTGGGAAGCCAGAGTCACTTAACAGCTGGGTTACTAAATTATCTACTGCAGTGATTCACGTAACTGTTGGGGCATAATTCACTTAACAAATGTCGCAATATAAATTTTGGGCTCAATTGTGGTCATAAATCGAGGGCTACCTCTATAGAGTAGTTATTGTGCATAGCTATTGTGCAAAATGGCAAAAAAGTGAGGAGAATAACAGGGCTAAAAATCATGCAGTTTTCTGAGATATACTTTATTGAGCTCTACTTTGATACTTAAAACAGCTGGAGATCTATGAATGCATGGTATTTGGGTGTGAGGTTGATGAGAATACTATTTACCTACAGTATTTACTATTTAAAACTATAGAAAGCATTTGCTTCCATGAGGAAAGAAATGAAATTTCTGTGCTCACGATGCACCATGGTGTTAAGGCATGAAGATCAGTTTGAAGAAAACACCTGTCATTTTTCCAAGTGAAATGAAATCCATTTAAAAAGAAAAGAGCAAAGTCCATCTTCCAAAACAATTGCTTTTATTTAGGAAAGCATCAAATTGGCTTGACAACACCTTTCTTTCAGGGACAAATAGGAATTACTAATGAAATGGGCTGCAGGGTCACTTAACGACCGCAAGAAGAGCGGGAAGAGCAGGGATTGTGGTCATTAAGCATGGTGATCATGTGGGTGCTTCAGTTAATGCTCGCCATAACTTACAATTGTAATGAGCAGGCTCCATTATGGTTGCAAGTCAAGGACTACCTATGTATAATTATCTTCTCACATGTACCTAGTCTGCCCAAGGACAATTAATGCCTGACAACATGATTGTATATACCAGTAGTGGCTAACCTTTTTGGGTTCCTGTGCCAAAAATTGCTTGCATGCCAGCACCCAGAAGTCAATACGTGCGCCCCCCCCCCACGCTCCCTGCGCATGCATGCATGATATCCTCCATGTCCTCTTAGTTGCACTGCGCCTTCTAGCTGATTTTTGGCCCGTTTGAGGCCTTTTTCAGCCTGCCAGAAGCCTTTGCAGGCTGACAAATGGGCCCATTTTGTCACTTCCAGTATTAATGCTGGAAGTGACAAAATGGGCCCATTTGTCGGCCTGCAGAGGCTTCTCTCAAGCCTCTGGCAGGCTGAAAAAGGCCCGAAAATCAGCTGGGAGGCACGTGCATGTGCAGTGAGGTAAGTTTGCCTGGGGCTCGCCTGCCCACACAAATGGCTCTGCATGCCATCTGTGGCACACGTGCCATAGGTTCACCATCATGGGTATATACATATGAAGTACATGCAGCCAGTTTGGTCGAGTAGTTCAGGCACCAGGCTAGAAAGCCGGACACTGAGGCACAAGCCTTTCCTGAAAGCCAGCTGGATGACTTTGGGCAGATACAACCCACCTCACGGGGTGGTTGTTGTGGAGAAGCAAAATGTGTTGGATATATTCACTGCCTTGAGTTTTTTGTAAAAATAATAAACGAGGGATACAAATTAAATGTACAGTTCTAAACTAAGGGGAAACCTTAAATTGGTTGCTGGAATGGTGAAGTTGTGATTGCTTATCAGTAATTATTGCCATATTTTTTGAAGTAAGATGCATCCCCCCCCCCCAAAAAAATGGGTGGAAATGTCTGTGTTTCTTATACAGTGAATGTTGACGAAGCCCCACCCACCTGCCAGCCCCCATCCTTTGGCCTCTGCCTTCCAGCAATTTGCCTCCTTGCAGCTAACAGCCTGTTTCAGCTTCAGCACAGCCTGATTAGTACAAACAGCTGATTGTTGGTTGGGTCGGCTTTCCGACAATTAGCTGTTTCAGGCTGCAGGAATTGCCATCACCTATTGCTGCCTCCGCATGCCCCATTTTTGGCCACCATGCACCCCATTTTTGGCCTCTGCACACCCCGTTTTCCAGCCTTCTGATCTCTGCTACCTGAATGGTCCAAAAATGGGGCATGTGGAGGCTGAAAATGGAGCATGCGGAGGCAGAAATGGGCATTGGCAGCCCCTGCAGCCTGAAACAGCTGATCGTCAGGAGGCCGGTCCAACCAACAGTCAGCTGCTTGTGCTAATCAAACTGTGCTACACTGAAACAGGCTGTTTGCTGCAAGGAGGCAAATTGCTGGGAGGCAGAGGCAGATTTTTTTTTCTTTCTGTTTTCCTCCCCAAAAGCTAGGTGCATCTTATACTCCCAAAAATACAGTAATTAGGAACTATATGTACATAAGGTGTAGCATGTTTGGGAAGAAAGCCTTAATGGGGAACTCAGTGCAGTTTTGGATATTAGATTCAAAATGTTCTTAATTGTTCTATTGTCCCCCACACTTGCAGTGCTTTTCATGTTGGCCATAGATAGCCATAAAGGCCTATTAATTGTGCATTTAAGTGTGAGCCTGGCTTACATGGAACTCTGTACCTTGTAAAGTTTACAGGTAAGTGCTTTTTGCATCCTAGCTTTTTATTTAATATTTAGCATGGAAGAGATAGTTGTTGCCTGTTTACAG